AGTGGAAACAGAGTACAGTTTATGCCAGCTTGACCTCAGTTACAAATGATGAAAGCTGTCTGGCATTTGATCCTTGTGTTTTCAAACCCTAAGCTCCCTCACTAAACATTCTTCCAATCTTCCCATCTTTTTGTAAATACCTTATTGTCTATGCCTTAGAGAGACTTCAAGTCTCAGAATCTCCTCATAATCTTGATGTCATCTATAGTTATCACTATTCAGAGCTCCAAACTGAATGTTTTGGAAGCAGCCCGGAAGTAGAATATGAGCCCATTCAAACTAGGGAGACTTTATGCTTGCAAGTTCCTATTCTCTTCACACAGGAGGCATAAAATCAATCAGGAGTACATCTGCCATATGAGCTTATGGTAACCTATTTATGTCCATTTACCACATGGGACACAAACTCACTCTTGTGCTTCTGGTTAGTCAACCATCTTTTAAAGGATATTATTGTCAGCTTCTTTGAAGATAACTTATTTTATACTCTTCATTCATTTTGTGGAGACTTGGGCTTGGAAAATTCCAGAAGCACCAAGTCTAAGTTAGTTTCTGATGTAATATAATATATTTATTCCGAGGCATCAGGGCTGAGATAAAGATCAAATTAGGTCAGCCTAATGAGTGACATAATATATTTATTCTGAGGCATCAGGGCTGAGATAAAGATCAAATTAGGGCAGCCTAATGAGTGACATATTCATGTGAATGAAAAAAGGCTCAGCACTTAGAAAAATGACTGCTCATCCACAAGGACAAGATTTGATTTCCAGAAACAACATCTCTACCAGATAAAAGAAAACACCATTTGAATGCACACATGAGCATTTCAATATTTTTATATTATGATATATGAAGCATTTTAACATTAACATTGCTAAATAATGTTGAGAAAAAACACATTTTGGGAATATATCATCTACACTTGCATTTGTACTCAGGAGACAGACACATAACGCCAAGCCAGGCTCCTAATAAACATGAAAATCTGAAGGGTTTTTGTGAAAATATGGAAAAAATAAACAGGAACAACAAATCACCACACTTTCAGACAGCTATTAAAAAATATGATAGCACACTACCTGATATTTTTTTAGTGTACCACTTAGATGATTGGCGTGACATTATATACATTTCAGCAGAAAAATACCTATCATTAAGCAAAAGTACCAAAGTAACAAAAGCCAAACAAGGAATATAAGGACAACAAAATAAACTGGACTAAATGAATTTTCCACACATATAGGACTTTTTGGTATGCATCTCAAATATTTCAAAATAGAACCCCCAATGCAGTGACCTCTATCATCGGTTCCCACTCTCTGCCTCATGCTGCAACTTAGGGATGTGAGTTCTTAGACCCTGTTTTAGGTGTCATGCAAATTTTAATTACGCTCCTGTATCCCTGTGGAAACAAGGGCCAAATTAAATCTTTTATAAGGTGGCATAGGTATTATAACAAAAAGAGGAGAGAAAATAATACAAATTAGTAAGTTTCACACCTAATTTACACTAGTTAGTTAATGCACTTGAAGAGAAATATAAATCACTTATGAGACACATTATCATTTAAAATCACTGTGCAAGTGTTACAGCTATGGAGGGAATGGTACCCCTAATGTCATAAGTCAGTATATGCCTTCATCTGTGAAGCAAGGATGGCCTGAAAGCTCTGAGGATAAAGGTGTCCTGACTGTCAGGAAGTCATGCTATATATGAAGTTGTATTCCAGTGGGGAATGATCTCTGGGCATTATGTAGCACTCCTGCTCCACTTAGAGAGAGACTACTACAAGTGATCTTTGTTGCATCCTGCTAAGAGTTTACCAGAATAAATGTCCGTTGCTTGTTCTATTGTCTTTTCCACTAAGGATTTTCTGAGCAATGGTAACCATTTCTTCTTAGCTCCAGCTCAAATTGTCACTTTTCTGCTTCACTCAACTACACTCCCCTAAGGGATATTCCCATCAGCAGTATATGTTTCTTCTCTAATTCTCTCCACTAGGGAGTTCTGTATCCACTGTGCCAAAAGAAGTCCTTCACAGAAACACATTGAACAGATTTATTTGGGCATCCAGGAAAGCAGCTGCCCCTAATCAGTGTGGAAAATGTCAGCTGACAACTGAACAAGCATAAGGTTTATATATGTCTTCTTAGGGGCATAGGATTTTCACAGAGAATATTTTTCAGCAAGTTAATTGGTAAAATTTCATTCCCTGAGCTTTAAATCCTTTAAGATTTGCCGGATTCCTGCTTAGGGATTGGGTGGTTTTGAGACTAGCTCTTGCTTGGATTTTTTTTTCCGCTAGTCCAGGGATACAGTTTGTTTCTTTGCCTTTTGATTCAGGGACAAATTGTGCTTCTTTCACTGGCCCTTTTTAAGCATTTGCTCTTATTTAAGGGTGAGTTTCTTTGGCTGCAGTTTGAGGGCCATAATCTCTTTCTTTCACTGGAACTGTTTCCTGGGATGGGTAGTATTTCTTTGCTGGCTATTTTACCCTAAGCATAAGGTTTCATAAGTTCATATATTCATTTTTCAATGAGTGTGTTAGAGCAGCAATATAAACATTGACATCCTAATGCTTGCACAGATTGTTGACACTGTCAATTTTTTCTACAAAATAAATACTGTAGTCAAAGTGATCGGAAGTGTGATTGCAAAAGATTCCAATAAATACTTGATAATGAAAAGCCCTCATTAACTTTTTCAGGTACTCAAAAATGACTGTAACTTACAAAGGCTTTAACAGTTTGACCATAAAATTCTAAACCTGTATAAAGTTAAAGTGCACAATTAAACCAAACTGACTACATTCATAGTTTTCCTGCTGAATGATTTTTTGTAATGATTTCAAAGGCTCCTGGTACATGCAAAAGCTTTACCACACTGATTACGTTAAAGTGGTTTGTCTATAGTATGTGTTCTTTTATGGGTTTGAAGAAAACATTTACGTGCAAAGACTTTCCCGTACTGATTTAATTCTTAGCATCTGTTCCCACTATGTGT